TCAAATCAGAAGAATAAGGAGGTTGTTCTTTAACTTCAATATAGTTTCTTTCCAATCAGTCTATAATATTATAAGTCTGATAAATAGGGGTATTATCTTGCTGGCAGAGGATACACCACATACCAAAAGATATCATTTGATGTATAATAGGAAAAAGATCCTTTCTTAAGAGCCTAACATACCTGATCTTATTGATATTTTGAGTAATAGGAACTAAAAGATCTTTTCTCTTGCCCTAGAAGCATCATAAACTGTAAGTGAAATCCCTTTGTCCTTCTCTTTTCGATGAATGCAATCAGCTATCTACTTCTCCCCAGGTTCTCTGAAAACATATTGCTATCTTGGATCTCTAGATTTCTCCACATTATACTCATTATTCTAAATAACTCCTTCAAAATCCTCAACTGTCCAATCCTTGTACACTGCAGCTCACTTCAGCCTCTTAGCCACATGCTCAGGCTTGAGCCTAAGTCTTGATTTTGCAAGCTATTTTTTAATATTGATCTCTCTAAGTACTCTATCCACTATAAAGTTTAGGTATATTTATTAGTTAATTATATTCTATCACTCAGAAGTAGCTAATAGGGAAGAGCTTGTTACCAGTTGCTAGAAAAATACCCAGCAACATATTTATTTCTGGAATCAGATCTGGTTATTTTCCTATCGAATTTAGCTACCTAGACAATTGCATAATGTTACTGACAGCTCAGAAGAGGCATGCAACCAGGGCGAGGAATGTTTTCTACTAACTAATACCTATATGCTCAGATAAGAAATTTCTTAACTGTTGTCCATAGCTATCCAATACTTTGAGCAACAAGGGTAATGTTCTAAAGGTCATAGAAAAAGGCAATTATCATGCTTTTTGCAATATCAGTCATTTCTCTTCTTAAGGTTTTTGGAGTATGCTTTCGTTTTCTTAGTAAAGACTTTGAATAACCAGAATGGTAAACCATAGCTCAAAGGCCTCAGGCTTGGAAGTAAATGAATTGTAGATAGTAAAAGATATAAATAGTTGTGAATACTCTAAGTCGGGTTAAGGAAATAAGTTATTTTTTTTGTTATCAAGGTAGCTTAGTAAGCTATATCACATTTTACAAATACTTCTCATAACTGACTATATATAATAACAACTTAGAAGCTTACTAACTTATTAAATAATCACAATTGAATGAATATGCTATATATTATTATAATTTAAGACTATTATATGCAAGACTTTTACATGAATAATTTGATTACTCTCAAGTACCTTAATACTACTAATATGACTGCTCTCCTGGAATACTTAGTGGAAACATTTAAGGGTATTGGGACTTCAGGTAGTTAATTGATATATAACTTAGAATATTTGTTTCTTTTTCTTTTAACTGTAGGCAGTACTTTTTTTTCTCCATCATAGTAGTATAATAAGTTTTTAATAAGACTAGCCAAATTTTTGTTTCTCGTATCTCTGCAGTTTCTTTTATTTATTTATTTTTTCTTGTTCAATTCTGCTTATATCAGAATTGCTATTAGAGAGTTGAAGATAGTTAAATCAGTAATACAAAGAATAAGAGTATTATGTATTGCATATTACTTGATATTGTTTTAAGTCCGCTTGTTACAGGTTACATATAACATGGTAGAAATTCATACTAGTTAGTCTCTTCTTTCTTATTTTTCTCATTTAGAAGAATACTTGCTAGTAGCTACTGTTTACTCTGACTGTGAGACAAAAAGCTTTCTCTGCTCTCTTCCCAGATGGGAGGCTCTATAAGGAACCATTGTTATGATTGCTTCCACTAGATAAATCAATTAACAATTCTGCATCAGCAAAAAAAAAGATGTCTGCATCCTTAAGTCTAGTTTGTATTAGGATCTTCTAATACCTCTAGTATCTTGAGAATGCATTTCAAGGTGCTCTGGAAGAAGCAAATATAAAGAGTCAAAATTAGCTAAAACATATTATTTTAATAAAAAGATACAGGGATTTTATATTATATAATATTATCAAAGCTTCAGCCTCATCAGTTGAAATCTGATATTGAGTTTTGAATTTTGAAATCCAACTTACAAAATTGTAGTAAAATCAATCATACAACTTTAAATCTCTGAAAGTATACAAAATAATAGTCCAGTTGCTACACTGTTAGGTGTAAACAATGTGTTTTCTGCATCTTAATCCAGATACAAAGATTTCCTATTTGGACTACAAAACGTACCAGATATGCTTCAGCCATATTCTGGATGCCTTCTTCAACAAACTCACATTTCAGATACAGGCTTACTTTTTTGCCAATGTTCCACTGGTGAAAAACCATTGATACTCTCAAAATTCTCACATATAATACAGCTTATTTTTACTTAATTCACTTCTATTACCTAACAAAATATACTAGCTTCAATACTGTTTTGTTTTACTATCCATGGTCTTAAACAAGAATTGCTCAAAATAGATTGATTTAGAACTTCTTATTCTACAGTTCCATGTTTTGATTTTTACCACCTAGGGTTTTAGTGGAGTGTCAAGGTTCATGGAGTTTTGTGCTTCTCCCAAGCCCATTGTGGTTGATTTCAAGGTCCGGGCACCGTACTACCCGTTTTCACAAGGATCCGGATGTCTTGGCGCGAATACATCCTGACAGTTGTGAAAACGGGTAGTACCAGTACTGTACAGCTACCGCTAATTACAAGTACCAGTTAGGAAGTTCAAAGCCCTCAGTACGCTACGAACCGAGCACTCAATACTTGCGCATTCCAAAAGTATCCGGATATCTTGGCACAGTTTCAGTTGTTGTGAGAAACCTTAAACCAGAGCCCTTAATCTGCTGGTGTAAGGCACTTTAACCACCTATAGCTCACCCAGGGATTGTTACTTTTAAAGTATCTTTTAATTCCTGAACCTCCAGCCTATCCTCTATTGAAGTATACAGAGAAAACCACCTTGGAATTGTTTGGGAACCGTATCAATTTTCAGTTGTACAAGCCACTTTTGTGCAAGACATGCTGCTTAAAGAATTCATTTACTGGAGTTGTAGGGGGTGCCAAGACATCCGGAGACTTTTGGAATCCGCAAGTATACCCCGCAAATACAGGTGTACAGTACTGCTCGAATAAACATGACCCCACCTCTGTACCGTACAGTACTGATACGGTATGCTGCATCCCTCCTCCCAAGGAGGGTTGCTGTCTACCATAATTCCCAAAAAATACACCCCTACCGAAACACCTGTACCTTCCGTGTAACGTACCGAGAGCTTCAAGTTTGAACCTCCCTAGCATCACACCTCTCTCCTTCCGCGTTAGACTCTGTGGACGGGGCTGCACTCGAGTACCTGCATACCGATCGTTGGCCGTCCAAGTATCATCATTGGTTAGGACATCAGCCATGTCATGACCGCAACGGTAGCATTGCTAACCGTTACACCGCACCCACAGCCATCGCATCGCACTCACAAACCTTCTCGGCGAGTCATAAGCGGGTGAGTGGGAGCCCCTCGTTCAGGTCCTGCGAAAAGGCGGAAGTTGAAAGTTTGAAACACCAGTATGGGGAGCTGGCTACTGGGTACTGGTCCGCGTGCCCGCTTACTCACTGACGATAGAAAGGCTGAGGGTATGGGGTGATGGATTACAGAACATTATGCATGTTCCCGTCTGTGTGAGGCTGGGTAAAATTGAGCACCGTACTCGAGTACGGTAGTTGGAAGGCCCACCTACGCAATGCATCCAGCTTCGCTATTGTGGCGAAGATACTTGGTACGCCCCGACAATCTCACATGACCACTTGCTCCTTTCCTCCCCCCCTTTTGAATGGAGCCGAAAAAACTGGACTGAGCGATTGGTGAGTACTGTATCGGCACTCTCTGGATGATTCCCGCTTTAGGACCAATACCTGTTCTTTACGCTGCACATTACGGCACAGTATTGATACTCAACTGCTCCTCGTTCCCCTGCGTTGTCACCAAACTTCCCTTTTATCAACCGAACTGTTTTTTTTGTTTTCATTTTTCCATGCAGTGGCTGTGCTGTACCAGTGCATGTACAGTACGAAGGGGGCAGGGGAAAGTCTGGCGAACGTCCCCCAAATGATACCCACTGTAAGTATCATGGGGGGGATGTAGAGGAGGGGAGGGAAAGGATAACAGGAGAAAGGGGAATGGAGGATATTTTAAAGGGTTAAATTGTATGGTTGCAGAGTTGAAGGAAAGCGCAGATACCTTAGTTTAGTTTAGAAAGCGTGAAATGGAAAAAGGTTTTTTTTTTAAAAAAAAAAAAAATTTGGCGAACATGGCAGTGCATGTGGCGGCACACTTACCCTGTGATTGATCCTGTATATACAATACAACTAGTAACCAAGTGGTTTTCATTTCCGAGTCATGATATGCTTCAACCTGAGTAGTATTGGGCAATTTTCACGATGGTGTGTTATGGTCAAATAACTACGTCAACCACTCTTCCTGGACAGAGCCATCACCACATGCACCGCCACGTTCGCCAGACTTATCCCTACCCCCTTCGTACAGGTATTAGCATGAGTACAGTTGTGCTTTACCTCTCTCCCTGACAAGGGGATGATGCCCCGATGCGAAGTGAGAGCAGACGAGGGTACGGGAAGGAGGTTTCGGTCTCCTGGTTTCTGTCTGGCCGCAATGACTAGACTACTCGTACCATACATATTCACCTGGCCGGGTACCTGAGATAAGCCTTCCAGATCATGCGGGTTTGGGTTAGCGCCAAGAAGCCAAGGGAGATCGTGGTACCGGAATCCTTGCAAATGGATGTCTGGCCGATGACGGTGGTAGACTACGTGTGCGTTTCACTGTTCTGGCTTGGAAACGGTTTGGCGCTTTGGTTTGAACGGGTGAGGGAGACCAAGCCGCCACGCATGTGCTGTTGGCCAGGTTATAGGGCATTGGCATTGCACCCCGAGCACTGCACATTTCCGGGCCGAGGCGAGCAGCACACTTTACGTACACTGCCCATATATACCGGTACACAGGTACAAGCTAGGTAAGAGCACCCATTGCCCAACCCACCGCACACCCGCTATGAAGTGCAAGGAGGAGAAATGACTACTGGCGTAAGAATGAAGCCCCCTTCTTGCTCCTTGTGTGTGTGTGTGTGTGTGTGTGTCCAACTCTCAGGGCTTTTGCACGGGTGGGTGTGGAATCGGGAATCCGGCGCCATTTTTTTGGGGGTTCAATTCCAGCCATGACGATCCCATTGGACAATTCATTCATCCCCTTCACTCGTTTCCCGGCACTTTACTAGTACTCGTGAGCATACAGTTTGGAAGCGTTCCCTCTATACCACTCCCGTGGACCCGCCGCGTAAGCATTGGGGGAATCGTCGCTTGTTAGGCGAAAGAGGGAGAAGGAGGAGGGAGGGGGAAAAAGTATGATAACAGTAGAGGAAAATGGAAGGAGGAAGAGGAAGGAGAGGGAGAAGAGGGAGAAAAACTCTCTTCTATCGCACTTTCAACTTTCCCGTTTCCCTTCTCTTCCCCTCCCCTCCTCCTCCATTCTCAGCTCTCCCTGTATTCCTTGCCTCCCCTTCCCTCCCCGTCTTTCGCTCTTCTCTCCCTTAACTCTTCCTGGTACAGCTAGAGGTGCTGAAGCTCAGCTTCATTGGTATGATAAACGGATACACGGGCTGTTCCCACGTCACAATCACGGCTCGCTGGCCCTTTCTCTCGTTCCCTCCTCCCGCTTCTCTTTGCAAGTTTCGGGCCCGTAGGCTCCAGACTCTCAAGTGACCTCCAAGTCTTCTTTCCTCCCGTTTCTTGGCTTATATTGACCGGCACCCTCCCCCTCTCGTGATACCATTTCCCTCGAACATACCACCGGACGTTGCCGATATATTGCTTTGGCCCTTTGTAACCGCCTCTCCCATTTTAACCCCATCAAGCACCTCTGTGAGGCCCCTCTCTAGCATTCCATTATCCTGTCGCTTCATCTCAATCTACAGCAGGTGGGGGAATTGAGGTTGGATGCGAAATGAAGTTCACGGGGTTGCTATCTGCTGCCTTGGCATTTGGGGGGAGTGCTTTAGCTCTGCACCTGTACCCGCCATCTGAGAATGCGGGAAAGATCCTCTCGTTTGGCTTCCAGAAAGTAAAGAGAAATGCCGATAACGTCCCCCGGCTACAGCGAAGAGACTCTTCAAGAACCCTTCTTCAACGTTTGGACAACTTGGTATGCTACTCACTTCACCTGACATGATACCAACGCTACCTGTGCTAACAACGTTGCCACCCACTCGCACAAGGATTACCTCTACTATGCTAACGTCAGTATTGGAACACCACCGCAAAATCTGCGGTTACAGTAAGCTCGAACGACACATACCGCTAGACCCGGAATTGCTAACCCACTCGATCCAGTCTTGACACGGGGTCCTCGGATGTGTGGGTCGAAACCATGAAATCTGAGCTTTGCCAGCAACCTCAAAGGCCGTGCCGAAGTACAGGGACATTTAATGCGGACACGTCATCCACCTACGAGAAGGTCAGCGACGATTTCGATATTTCTTATGTTGATGGGGAATTTGCGCGGGGTGAATATGGAAGGGATGTGTTCACCCTTTCGGATGGCGTAGAGGTGACGGGTTTGCAATTCGGCGTAGGCCTTGAGTCGACGTCAACGGATGGGATTATGGGCATTGGTTTCAGCCTGAATGAGGTCCAGGTTCAGCGATTGGGGAAGGATCCGTATAGGAATTTGGTGGATCTTATGGTTGATCAGAAGGTCATCAGGTCTCGAGCTTACAGTTTGTGGTTGGACGACCTCAGTAAGTCTATCCTCCAATTGCCGTCTGGTAGGCGATTGCTAAGAGTCTGCAGATGCTACCACTGGCGAGGTATTATTTGGGGGAGTGGACACGGCCAAGTTCTCAGGACCGCTTACTACGCTGCCCATGGACAAACGTCTCGGGGAGAGAAGGGCTCGTGAATTTGCTATTACCCTAACCTCTGTCTCAGTTACCAACTCTAATGGAGATTCCTTGACCCTGACTGCGAGCGGTTACGCCAGTCCCGTGCTTCTGGATACCGGGTCCACCTATACTTACTTGGACCCTGATCTTGCTAAAGAGCTTGGTGATCAGGTTGGCGCTCAGCCATTAGAGCAGTACGGTGTGGCTGTTGTCCCTTGCGGGGTCAGAGGTTATCATGGAAGCATCACATATGGGTTTTCTGGGGCAACTATCACGGTTCCCCTGAACGGGTTGGTTGTCGATGCTTGGGACAGGTCGGGAAACCTTGCAAGATATAGTGACGGGACTCCTCTTTGCTACTGGGGCATATTGAGTTCTGGGGATGTGGGAACAAACGTTCTGGTGAGATTTACCTTCCCGAAGGTCGACTGGGGAACTTGGACTGAACCTTCACAGGGTGATACTTTTCTCCGTTCTGCCTATGTTGTTTACGATCTCGATAACGAAGAAATAAGTCTTGCCAATACCCTCTACAATGTCACGGATAGCAGAATCCTTGAGATTGGCACCGGGAGGTCTGCCGTTCCTGATGCGACCGGGGCCGTTAGTGCGGTCATGGTGCCCGCGAGCGGGACTAGCACCAATCGCGGCAACGCGCGCCCCTATATATCCGAGACCATGACCAGGGCTTCTTCCTCTGACCCAACCGGCTCCACCAACACTGCGCCTTCTCTTAATCCACCGCTTACCTCGGCGCTGCTATTATTCGTTACTTTGTTCATATCCCTTGTTTTATAAGCCTTCGTTGATCCGAAGAAACCGACTCCAGAATGTAGATGACCTGTGGCGGATAGCTTCCTTTTGCTCGACTGGAGCGATCGTTCCATCTTGGGTTTGTGGTGCTTTGGGCGGCATTGTCTTTCTGTTTATCCCCGTGTCTCCATCACTCCCCAGGACACGGTGTTCCAGGGTGGGCCAGTAGGTTCCTATACAAGTAATGGAATTGGGGTGTAAATTAGGGTTGACATGGTTCAAGTTTTTTTTTCATTTTATGTTGGGCGGATTGCATGCAGATACAGCACAGGATTTGACCTGTTCTGACTAGAGGATTCCGCCGCCCGTGCGGCAAAAGCAAGTGATATGCGAGTGAGAATTGATGATGAGCAGTTGATTTCGCAATTGTGTATAGTACAGGACAGTACTGTGTAGTTCCGGCATCGTACTACCACTTTGAGCCTGACGGCCCCTGGAACCAGACGCCTTACACTCGGAAGCTTTCTTTTTCCGATGGAGAACCTGAGAGCCGGCTATTGATGATAGTAATATGCAACCTTTCTTTCCAACCACAAAGTGGGATACCGTAAGTCCTGGCCTGTTGGCGTTTGCCGGTATGCAGCTTCTCTCCCGTTAGGGGGGGGGGATAACGAGAGATGTGGTGCGGTGTTGCATGACTTAATGAAGGAAGGGGTTCCTTTTCATAGTTCGAGGCCCGGGATGCGAAATACTCGAGTGCTGTTGAATGTTTATCAAGGAAATGCGGGAGCGCAATTTTTCATAGCACATGGTAAATATCTGTATCTTTCCCCTATGATGCTGCTGTTGTTCCGGATGTCCATACATAATATACTGGTGGCATTGAGATAATAGCAAAGGTCACAATTTCAGGGCGAATTATAATCGGTATTTATTTTCCAGAGTAACTTGAGTTATTATCCGGAATTTTGCTAGCCTTCGGTAAAGGTAAAGTCACTGCGGCCCATTAACCGGAACTGACAGGGATTTGTCTGGCTGGTTAACCTCAAATAACTGTTTCATAATTTCTTACCTTACCCTGGTAACTATACTGTAGGACAGCCTTCAGGAGGGGATTAGAATCTGCACGCCAGTATGCAGCGATTTGAGACTTTCTCCCGCGGGTGGTGAGGTTACCATTGGTTGGTTGGAAAACCCCCCTCCCTTCTAGGCCTGTTGCGTAAGTGGATTGTATTATGTCAGCCACCTCCAGACTTCGCTCTCTGGGAAACCGTCACGGTTTAGCGGTGCGGCCCTGTCAACGGTCGTCAATGATACCCCTCTAACCGTACCTGTACAGAGCATCTGGCCAGCCCTCTCCTCCTCGCGACACCGCTCCCCGACGTCGCTCCCTCCCATCCGCCCCACATCACCACCTCACCTTGCCCTGATAGGCACTTTTCGCCCCGCGTTCCATATGCCTTTGTCTGAACACAATCCGTTCTTTCAACAACCACCTTTCTAGTTTCCTCAGCCTTCACCGTGCAACTCTGAGCTTCTCTAGAACCTGTGAGTCCATTGCCGTGATATAGACGACCCATCACTTGTTTGGCTATAAGATGTCTTCCTACCATTACCCCGAGCGTTCCTCGCTCATACGATACGTCATGAGCCATCTGATTGTCCGCCAGCTGCAATCCGTCTTAAAGTCAGAGGGCCTCCCTACCAGTGGGCTAAAAGCTCCATTGCAAAAGCGCCTCACAGCTCGTATGGAACTCCCTAGCACTACTACGCAACCGTCCGGTCCGCTGACTATACTATGTAGACATCGAGGACTTGATAAGCAAGGGCGATACTTCGGGCCTTGAGCGGGTTAAGAACCTCATCTATCGTCCCGAGTCTCCCGCGCCCTCCCGGAATTCCACGGCGAACTATAACCAACACGGCGGCTACATATCTCCAGCTCCTCCCATGGCCCAGACGCCACCATACTCTGCTCCTGGCTATGGGTCTTCAAGCACGGGTTGCGCCCCCCTATCCCGAATTTTTGACTGGTGATCCCCGCTGACCTTATTATCCATAGCCTTGAGTCGAATTCACTTCAAGGAGAGTCCATTCTACCAGGTGCTTGTAGGGTTAACTCCTCTTGAGACATGCCCTAGTATGGACCCCCACTTTCTCTTTGTGGTCTGTCGCTATTCCTAACTCTGGGCTAAACAGTCATGACCGCGAATCGCCACTCAGTTCATGCCTCTGTGGTACTATCAGCGCCGCAAGTCCAACAAATTAGCACAGATAAATCCTATCGCTGCATGGTCTACTGCGCTGCCGTCGACGGGATCACTGCCTATACCAAGGATACGGATATTGCATTTCCTCACCAGGTTGAACTTCGTGTCAATGACGCCCAGGTATCTGGATTGAACCTTCGCGGTTTGAAGAATAGGCCTGGGTCAACACGACCGGCGGACATTACGGACCACCTCACCAAGAAGCCGGGGCATAGGGACCAAGTTACACTCACATATGCTCTAACCCAAAAGGTCAGCCTTCCATTCCACCGATATATGTTCCGGGTCGGGTCTAATGCATCTCTAGAAGTTTGCGTTTGTGGTTAATTACGTGAAGACGGATTCTGTCGAGCAGCTTGTTGAGCGTCTAAGAAGTGGCTCTTCCATTACCAAAGAAACTGTTATTGCCGATAGTAGGTTTCATCTACCTTGGTGCTTGGGTGATATCAATATCGTTACTAAAATCACTCAGTGATCAGGAAGAATGAAGACTCGGATCTAGTCGCTACCTCTAGTAACATGTCCCTCAAGTGTCCCCTGTCCACCCTCCGTATCGATCTGCCTATCAGGTCTACTTTTTGCAACCATATGCAATGCTTTGACGCAACCTCTTTTCTCCAGCTGCAACAACAGGCCCCAGTATGTGTCCACACGACCCCTTCAAATTGCCCTTACTGATTTGGGCAGACTTGGTCCTGTCCAACTTGTAGTAAGAGTATCAGCTGGAGAGCGCTTGTCGTCGATCAGTACGCAAAACTCCCTCCTCTTCCTTCCTTGCCTGCTTGCACTGCTATAACTGACTGTTCAGGTATTTCCGTGATATTTTGGACAATACACCCAAAACAGTAGACTCTGTGACTATCGACGTTGACGGGGCTTGGTCTGTGGCAGCGGAATCATCCGGAACCCCCATGCCAGATACTGATAGCGAGGACGGGAATGGCGGACGGGATGATATTATCGAAGTCTCAGGAAGCAGGTTGTCAAGATTGAGGGTTGAGGCCACGCCAATTGCACCTTCTCCCGTCGCTACAGTCTCCCGCGAAGGATCTGCTTCGGTCCCCAGAAGTTCCGTTAGTACCAAGCGCCCGGCCTCACAGGTCATCGACCTTACCCTGAGCGATGATGAGGATGCTGTCCGCCCAGCCAAACGCATCAGTTCGTTTCTCACACCCACTAGCATGAGTTCGGATGGTCGCGGCGGCGGCGGTGGTAGCGGCAGTGGTAGTAACTCAGGCAATGGGAATGGGGGCGCGTTTCCGACTTTCGAGTCGGCTGTGTATAACGGAAACGGTCACTCGCCGGTAGGGACCCCCAACCCATTTCTGACAAGCAGGTATACCAGTTGATGGGGATGTGATGATGCGCTCTCCTATCTGGAAAAGGTAAAAGAGAAAGAGGGCTTACTTGGTGTTTCTGTAATACCCCAGCTACAATTGAAGTCCGCGATCGCGAATTGAAATAGGGAGGGGGGGGAAATAGGGAAAATAGATCACTACGGGTGGGCGTTCACCAAAGATATTTACCTTGCTTTTTGTCTGATGCGATATACATTCCTTGCAGAATCCCTTTTGCCTTTCCTCCTTTCCTTCCCTTTTCTCTTCTCTTCTTTTCACCAGGGAAACCGGCAACTTGTCTTGCTTAGCCGGTTAGCTTTTTTTTTCATTCCTTTTTTCATTCTTCATTCTTCATTTCTTTTTCATTTTCTTTTCATATCCTTATCATAACTTCCGTTGTCCGCTCTATTCTCCTCGGTATCCTTTTCCGCCCCTTCCATTATTGGACCCCATTTCCGTATCAAGTATTATTACACAATAGCTCTCTTGAATATCCTTTTCGTCTCCTCCCGTTTCCTTTTTTTTTATCAACTAGGAGAAGTGGTGTTTTTCCGGGGCATTCAAAGATCTTCCTCATTTCTGTCGATTCTTTTTTCATTTTTTCTATCTCGCTTGCTCAAATTTATTTTTTTCCCCTTAAATCTTCTCCCTTCACTTGCAGACTCGTGTTTTATCCGGAGTAACGGGCCCTATTGCGCTTTCTTTTAATGGACAACATTCCCCCTCTATTCTCTTTCCATCTTTTCTTCCTATCATACAATTGTCCTCGAATAGTTAGGTTGCGGGGAACTAGGGATCCGGATGTACGTAAGACGGTGCTGCTGTTTCCCCCCCTTACCCTTTCGCCATTTTATTTCAGGACTTCTTTTTCAGCTGCCTTTCGTCCAATTGCTTTATGGGACGGGTGGGATAGAGGATGGGCGTCACATATGGAGGGGGAACAGTGGGAATGGGAGGTGGTAGTTGATAGGCAAGTTAGCAATTATGATAGGCAAGGAAACAGAAGGGGGAGAAGTCCTAGGAGGGAGAGTGGTGGCTTTATATCGGACGCTCATGGCCCGTGATCTATTCCAAAATTGTAGTGTTGGAGCGCTCAGGTGTGTTTAGCCCACGTGATTCAACATTCATTGACCATACCGGTTGCTTAATTGAGAGTACTGGCCGGTAACCCGGCCTTGGAGTTCAGACAAGTTCTATCCAGCCATAGAGGGCAAAAGCTCCAAGGTCTATCTCACCACCGGCACCGTCACCACCACCCTACCATATCCCAAGATTCCCAATCCCACAACTCTGCCTCCGCCTTTTCCGCCCCATCACAGAACAAACACAACCAAAACAACAACGACAGCAACAACCACAATGTCTTTTGAACCCCCCTCCCCCCCTTCAATGCCTCGGATCCGCACGCTACCTTCCTAAACTCCACCTGCCTGGACCTCCTCCTGATAGAGCTAGTCCCGCTCGCGCACCGACTATCCCAGCAGCTGGCTGAGACACCCAACGACGCGCTGCGCGCCGGTGTTGACGACGAGGAGGACGAAGTGCGCGAGGCGGTCTTCTACCGCCTCGAGATGCTGGGATATCGTGTGGGGTACGGCCTTGTGGAGCGCTTTTCGCGCGATAGGCCGCGCATGAACGATACGCTCGACGTTATCAAGTTCGTATGTAAGGATCTTTGGACCATCGTTTTCAGGAAGCAGATTGATAACCTGAAGACTAATCATCGGGTTTGTTTGTTTCTTGCCCATTTTTTCCCCTCTGCTTTGTTTGCTCGCTTGCTTTACCTGGCGGGGTGTGTGTATGGGGAGGGGGGGGCGGGCGCAGTGGGGAGATGATTTATTTATTGATTGGTTGGTTGGTTGGTTGAGCTGTAGGGGGTTTACGTACTCACGGATAATTCGTTCAGACCCTTCTCCAGGATGAGTGCGGAGACAGGGGGGAATGCAGTTGCTAGGGCCCAGCCAGTGAGTCGCGCGGTTTTCCTTTTGTTAGGTCTTGGGATATCCAGGGCGGGACTGATGACGATCTCTAGTTTCTCTGGTTCCCTTGTGGCATTGTCAGGGGAGCTTTGGCAAATATGGGGGTTAACGCGAGTGTCCAGGCAGAGACGACGGAGCTGCCATCTGCTACCTTCAAGATAGAGACCTTGACGAAACCTGTGGCGTAGATTTGGTCTCATTTTCTTCTGTTGTGTCCTGTTTTCGCTTCCCCTTTTACTTCTATCATAGCACGATTATGGCGCTAGTGGGATAGATTTAGATTTGATTGCGCTGATTCCTGAGCTCCCATTTGGAGGTAAGTGTGGCGCTATCTGGGCACCGCACTTTATTGGATACTAGGAAGTGGCTGAATGTGGGGTGTTTTCAAATTTCTTTGGTCATTTAAGTCTGGTGTTAGTTCAGTAGCTCACTATTGTGGTTTTACAGATGCAAATATGGGCACTCTTTAGAATTTATCATTGCATATAGTCAGATGCTCACTGGACAAAGGACAGAAAACATGCCACCAATGATGGGTGTCACCACACCCCCTTGTAGAAAAAAGCCCCAGCCCAACAGGTATCATCCACTTCGGGCCGTGTCTCGAACGGGATTTTCATCTACATTTCACCCTCGAATTGAGTTAGGTCACGTGACGTCAGTTTTGCGCTCTGATAAAAGGGTTAATTTAAAGGCCTCTGAGAAACGAGTTTACAACTTTGCAGGCTCAGCTGAGGCGAACTCGACACCCTTGTCAATGTTTGTCTTCAATCCCTTGATGGCCACCTCAAGGAGTTTCTTCTCGTCCTCGTTGACTGATCCAAGAGGGTTGGTAGCCTTTTCAACTCCGTTTGGCTATGCTATCTGTTAGTAGATGACCAGACATTTTTAGGTTCCGGGGGGAAGCCATACCCCGAGCTCGACAGGAACTGCAAAGAAATCTATACCAACAGCCTTCGCAATCTCATCACCCCCTGGAACGCCAGGGAGGTAAACATAGGAAGGCTCGACGATCCCCTTTTCTCCGCCAATTGCGTTTGTGGTTGTTAGCATCTGCCACTAGGATATAAATTTGAGGGGTATTATCTTAATAACGGACTCAGCGAATCTAGCAGAAAAACATTTAGTATTAGAGCTACATGGCCGGGTCGAGGAACAACAAACCTGTATCCGGCAAATGCCATGGAAAGAGTGGCCGAGCCAGCGCCATCCTTGGCCTTAACAACCTCATCGCCACCAAATTGGATACCTACAGCTGGCATTAGTGGGGTCTTTAGGCTAGCAAGGGTACGCAAAGCAAAGACGTACGATTTACCAATCCGTCACGTTTGTCTGTTGGAATAGAAACTGAAGCTTTGGTCAAGCTCAACAAGGGAACAATTGTATCACCGCTGTGTCCACCGACTACTGGTACGACAATATTGCGTGAGTCTTCACCAGTAATCTCGGCAACAAAGGTCGAGGCACGGACGACATCCAACGTAGTGACACCGAAAAGGCGGGACGGATCAAAAACGTTGTGTGCCTTAAGAATCTCAGCGGCAATGGGAACTGTGGAGTTTACTGGATTCGAAATAACTAAAATGAATGCCCTGGGGCAGTGCTCGGCGACACCAGTGATAAGATCACGGACGATACCAGCATTGATCTTAAAGAGATCATCACGGGTCATTCCCGGCTTTCCTGGAGGCCCGTTAGAATAGGTCCCGAGAAAGGGTTATTTTGGCTCATTTAGAGATTTAACTTACTCGGAATCCCCGCGGGGATGACAACAACATCAGCACCCTCGAGAGTATTCTTGAGGCCATCGTCCTTAGGAAGATAGCCAGTAACTTTCTGCAAGCCAGATCAATATATGAATGAAATTAAGCCGACTGCTGGGAAGCTTACGGCTGGGGAGGAGATATGTGAGAGGTCTGCAGCGACGCCAGGGGAATTGACAACATCATAAAGGGCGAGATCATCGACCAAGGGACTCGCTTTCAAAAGCAGTGAGAGAGGCTGTTAATAAACTCTTGTCAGTTCTCATCCTTCACGTGCCTGTGGGATAAGGAAACAAAAAGCAATTCACCTGACCAATCCCACCGGAAGCACCGAGAACAACTATTTGTGGTCAGAACCATAACAAGTGGGATGTAAACGGAAAGTGAGTACCCACCTGCCTTGACCATACTTTTTTCTGTGGTGATTGAGATTTAAGGTAAGAGGAAGGTTGCGAAAGGATACTGTAAAGCCGGTGAGGTGGGTACGATACCAAAGAAAGAGTGGGGAGTTGGGGTTTGAGTTTGAGTAGAGAGATGAGGGAAGGGCGAAGAGCGAAGGGAAAACTCGTGGTAGGGCAAGGGTTTCTTGGATTACGGGATGAGGGGCTGCGGGGTCGAATAGTTCTGATCCCGCTGGGCCTAGCTAAGTTACGATACCGGACTTCCCCTGGAGACAAACATCCCGGGAGACAAACAACTCGTGTGGGGGGGGGGGGGTCTGTACGAGTACCTAGCCACCTGATCCCAATCATATGCAACGTTAACACCTACACGGCTATTCAACGTACACATATGTAACACGATGTGCCGGCATTACCGGTACCCGAGTTATTCGCTCTCCAAGTGGGCATTCTCTTCACCACTCTATTCCATCAAAGTTTCCATGTCAAGATCCGCAAAAACTGCTCACCATAAGTTATTATCCACCACATGTAAGCCTATGCCATATAAAGCCCGGCATCAACTACAAAACAACCGGAGTGCCGGTACTATGAGGCAGTGAAACCTCAGGCCCGATTACGCAGTTATCAGACCAGAGCGGAGAGGGAATAATCAACGATCCGGTCATCCATCCCTTCTTTATCCGGGAAAATTGTAAATTTGACGAGGCGGTTGACGGAAATCCTACTCGTACCCCAACCCCACCACAAACTCCAAAATCACGTGCTCGAGCACAAAATTTGACGGGCCCGAAATGGTGGATGGAACCTTTTTTTCAATTTTTATTTAGAATCCGATTTATTTACGGGCCTATTAGTTCGCAGAAATCCATCCTCGATCCCCTCCTCCGAACCGCAGCTCAAAGTTTAATCTGACGAAGCCCTCTCCTCCGCTGCCTTCTTGGCCTTGACACCCCTAGGCTTCGATTCCGGAGTAGCCTTAACGGGCTTCTGCGATCTCTTTATGGCACTAGCACGGGCAACAGCGGCCTACAAAACAGTTAGCCTGGTGAGCTTTGGGGAGGAATCACAGAGGGAAGTGTACTTGGCGAAGGTCAGCTCTGGAGAAGGAAGAACATGAGTCAGCAAACACCCCGAACAGCCGATAGCCCCACATCTCAGTGAACCTACCGGTAGGACCTCTTGGCAACTGTACTGGCGATCGCAGAGTAGATCCTTGGTCGCGGCGGTTTGTCAGCGCCCGATACAGTTTGCCACTAAAAGTTTTATTGACCACATTTAAGACTTACTTGCGGTTGCTCTTGTGCTTGCTGAAGGCAGTCCTGTTGCATAGGGAGGCAGGCTTGTTCCCATGCTTCCCAGCATTCCTCTTGGTGATTACTATGACATCCCCCATCAGCAAATGCCCCCGATATTGGCGTTCCTTCAGTCCAACGTACGAACAACATTTCCGCTCTCCCCAGCTTGAACGCCGACGGCCTGTGGGAATTGACAAGTCAGTTTGAGAATTTGAGAGGCAGGTTATCGCAGTCGGGCCAACCTTTTCGTTCACGAGTCCAGAGTGCTATTGCATAACCCAGTCAGCAAACCACTCTGCAAAATCCTCAATTTCCTCCGCCCCTCATTCTTCCCAGGATCGGAGAATTCAATATACCTTGCGTGTGTGCTGGTTCGTGAGACTCAAAGGCTCCTTGGTGAAGACGATCTGATCCTTGACAGGTCCACGCTTCACAATATAGGATGAGTTATTCCTGGTTATGGCCCAGATAAGATCGGAGCTGACATTCGAGGACATGATTGTGGATGGGGTTGTGAATTCGAGAGCCAGGGATTAGCCTTCCATCCCAAGTTAGCAAATACCATTTCTCACGGAGAGTTTTTGGAAGGTAAATTCCGGCGGAATGACGTAGATATATTGGGAGAAAGCAAGAAAAAAAAAAGCTTTCAAGAGCTTACCTAGGGGTTTTGAATATTCGTCGGTCGAGTGCTTGTGCGGTCAAGCGTGAATATTATGGAGTGGGCTCAGTTGCCCGGCGAGCGAGCATTGGCTGTGGGTGATATGTGACGGGCAGTGGGGGTTTTTCGTAGCTTAGCCCTAAACCCAATGGCCTAACCGAAGAACGTGCAGAAACTGAGCAGGATGACGTTCACCTTCCTACAGGGCTTCTGCAAGCGCAAGCACAGCATCCAGCAGAGACGCGAACTGTTGAGGTGACTGTGTACCACCACAATTGCGACACTCTCTGAAAGATGTATCAAAAAGGGGCAGGAAGCACCAAACTCGTCACGGCTCCTCTTCTACTCGGACTCATGTGGTCGCTAACTCGATCCTACCCATGTACTCGTACCGGTACCGATATCACCTACCGTACAGGCACTCCACTGCATCAAAAGTCGGACCATTTGCATACGCTGCCGAGCATCTAAGCCCAAAGGCGACGGAAATTTACACATAATACCGGTACCAGTACCAGTAGCATCTCACAACACCATTCGCGTGTAACAACGACCAGATATGCACCGGCACTCTCGTTACCACCGGGTTGGAGCCTAAGTCATATGTACAGCGGGGGGCAAAAATACGTTCATATTTTTGTAAGGATTCAGTGGTTGCCGCCAGATGTATTTTGGCTTACTGAATCGTGAACGTATTTTGCCCCCCCCCCCGCTGTACTCGTACTGTAAAACCTACCGGATTAGATCGTACATTCTTATCTGATTGGCGGTACGAGGCCTGCACCATAGGGTAATTCTGGTACTGCACATGTGTGATCGGCTCTGTGGTATCCTGCAATTCTGAGACTGTGGCCACGATCAACTCTGCACCACAGCATATTTTCCATTACCCATATCATACCACGAATAGAAATAAATGGAAAAGGAAGAAAAAAAATATTAAATAAAAAGATGAAAACCAAGCAGAGAATAGTTAAGGCAAAAAGATTAGTGATTTATTCTCTTCTATTAGTTGATGATTGTGAAAGGTAAGAAGGTATATTAATATGTGTATTTTATATCTGAGTAGTCATAGGCTACATCCAAGTCTATCTAATACCAAACAATGAATTTTCTACCCTTTCTATCTTTGACTCTCATAATAGGGATCTATGTAACCCTGAAAATATTTGTCTTACTCAGGCAACCAAACTTTCTCTGTAAGCTGTTATTCTTACTGCTAGGACTTTTAGAGCCCCTCTGATAAAAGCGCACAATTTCTTTATCTCAGAGATTCTGGTTAGGTGAGTGGCTACTACTTAAGCCAAGTTATGATTCTCCTCTCTCTGATTAGAGTGGTTAGCTCTATTGAGAGACTTATCAATATATTGTTGACTTTACAACTTGACTATATCTTCTATAAGAACTTTTGTATTACAATTGGACTACTAGTTACTATCAGAGGAAAAGTTCCACAACTACAGATATGAAATGGCTCTACAATATTAAGCTATGGCAATCTAGGTCTATATCCTTATATATAATCAAGAGAGCAAGTAGTAGACTAGGCAGGCATGCAAGAGTATGTCTTAGAACATATCTGGTAGTCTAAGAATTTCTATATGCAAAAGATACTCAAGAGATAGATGTGCCTAAGTAGTAGTAGTAATGTGACTATATTGTACAACAGCCTAAGGAAAGGGCAGGTAATAAGATAAGGATATCCTATTTTAGAAAGTTATGTTATGCTACCTTGAGGACTGTTTTTATAATATTATTACAATAGATGTGATTGCCCTACCTTAGGAATACTATGACTCTATGTTATGTTGAAAACATTCTTGGAAGAATTTCAGCAAAAGTTAGGATTGTTTGTTATACAATAACTATAGATGGACACTAGATTGCACATTGTTTAGAGAGTTATGTGAGGAGTTAGAGAGCTCTAAATATATTATAACTTGGCAGAAATATTCTTAACCCATACTTGTAGCCATAGGATTTGCCTCAGGTCTCATGGGTTAAAGGATATAAAGTTGGTATCTTTCTAGTTAAATAGAGTCAATAAAGACATATTAGCAAAAACAAAAGCTTGCTTCCTGTGCTTCCTATACCTCTAATGTACAGGATGCTCAGGACGCAAACTATAACTTAGGATGCAATAGTTTTTGGTGCCAGAACTTTGGATGCAATGTTAAGAATCCTACCGAGTAGGGCCATGCGACAGGTAACGATACTTTTGTCTTAATAAGGTAATAGTTCTTAGGCCGTTGCCTACGCAATATAGATAGCCAAGTCCTTTGACTTCTATCTTTCGTGCCTATCCCTTAATCTTCTTAAGTCCTTGATAAGGACTTACTCTTTCTCATTGTGGGAGAAAAGAAAATTCTTGGGTTTCTTAAGATAAATCTTAAAGAGCGTAAAGGTAGGTTTTATTGATAAATTATAAAGGTAGGAAATAAATAAGAAGAACATGTGAGAAGCTAATACTTGGGGTCCTAGTGACCCTTTATATAGTAGCTCCTCACCTGGCCTGACTCATACCTCATGTCACGCAAACCCTGCCACTTATTACTATGAGTCATGCGAAATTCATTAGCCGACTCCTATGAGTCACTGCGCAACATACCTAAAACCAATTAAAACATAATAACCAAATCAGGTGCCAAACTCGCTTTACCCAAGCAAATCCCATGACTCATAATCATGAGTCATGTATGAAAATCATAATATCATGTGACTGACAACTGTGAGTCACAAACAGGTCAATATAATAACCTATGGTGCACTAGTGTGCGTCATGTGAAATCCTAACATACCTATAGCTCAGAATCCCAAGCTATGTAAAATCTGCCTTGCTGAGTCACAGTTTGTGACATACAACTAAGTAGTCTCTAAATTCCTGGGACATAATGTTAAGTAGCAGCCAATTCTGAGTGAAGTGAATTGTAATTAAGGCCAATAAGGTTTCTCAGAGAGTGGTCAAAAAGGCTCATAACAAAAGTAGGTATCAAAGTATAATGAATATATTAAGATCTCTTCTCCCTTCCCTGATAGTTCTGAAAGCGAGGCAATTTTTTTTTTGTTAGACTTATTTAAATTTTTGTTTATAGAATAAAAAGGCATATAGAGGACTAGCTCTGATGCCTAAAAAACTGCCCCCCCCCCCAGTCTGGGTTGAATGACAGAGTTAAAAGAATCCTCTGAGGTAGAAAAAACTACTCCTGCCCGAAGTTCCTTCTATAAACTGCTCTATCCAATAACTCCTACTACCAAGTAATAAAAGAAAGCTAATTACCTAACGGTAAACCAAGAACTTGATACAAACCCAAGGATGAAACATCTAAAGGCAGAAACCCAAGCCAAATACACTAAGGTATTTGACCTACTGTTGGGACACTCACTAGTTATGAGACACCTTTAACAATCTAACCAGTGAAATTGAAATATCAATAACAGATCCGGTTTGCCATTATATTATTCAATACTGTACTATAATATGCATAATCATCTCTAGATTCAGTCTATGAAAAAATATTTCTTCTTTTCTGTATTTTAATATTGGTGTTTTGTCTAAAATAGTGATATATAGATAATTTGCAACAACAACATTGATGACTAAAATGACAAACTGAAATGAGTAAATTTGGAAAGATCTTAGTATAAGAATATTTTATAGGCTCTGATTTATAATACTCTAAGGCTGTGTGGGAGTTGCTCTCTTATTTAATACAAGTCATTGATTTCAGGTTCCCGACATTTCTGTACTCTTTTCCATATACTTTTCTCATACAAGATACAAAGCAAGCAACCTTACGAAATACCTTCTATAACATCCCACAATTACAAATGTCTTCTCCTAACAGTATGAAGGCGATGTTTAGTCAAGAAACCATGAAGGCCCATGAGGCTGATCCCAACCTTCCATATACCAAATTGTCCCTCATGTTTGAAGTACTAAAATCCATACTGTATAATTGAATCTCACAATATTCAACACCAGCAAAAGCAGCACATGAATCACAGTAGCTTTTCTCTAGCTCTGATGAGGAAGCTTTAAGTGTATGGATTAAGAAGTGGGATGACTATGGATTTCCAACTTGCCATAGATATATGTATTAAATAGTTCAGAGTCTTCTTCATGCATGGAACTCTAGGGACCAGGTTGGTGAGCATTGGCTCAATTGCTTTTTAGGTTATCATTGTGATTTGGATGTCAAAGTAGGATGATGTTTGGATAGGAAGAGAGCTTTGGCCACTGATTTAGATTCCTTTAAGATGTATATTTATTACTTTTGTCACATTTAGTGTAAGTTCCACGTTAAGGATAAGGACACAGGGAATACGGACAAAAAGGGATTTGCTATTGGACTAGGAGGAGCAGGTACAATGATCTGCCATACCTCAAGCCGAAATCCCAGCCTCATCCAGCATGGTGGTTGTGATTTAGTTACTATTGTTGTAGCAATCTCAGGTGGTGCCAAAGTCTTGCCTTCTCTCATTATCTTTAAGGCAAATACCTACTTGATGAGATACCATACAAATATCAAGATTGAGGACAAAGAAGATACTTTCTTTGCCACCTCCTACAAAGGTTACACCAATATGGATATAACATTTCTGTGGTTTCAGAAAGTATTTGAACCATGCCCCTACTCTATCAATAGTATCAACCAGTATTGTATTCTGGTCTTAGATGGTCATTCAACATATATGGATAACTATGAGTTTATCAAGTATGCAATTGACCACAATATTCATCTTCTATGTCCTCCCTCCCATTCAACTCATATTTTCCAATCTCTTGATGTTGGCATCTTCAGTTCACTCACAGCCTGTTATAAGCAAGAGCTTGATGACTTTATACTTCAGCAAAGTACACATGGTACTATTAAGAAGGGAGACATCTTTTCTATGCTTCAGAGAGCAAGGCAAAAGACTTTTCAGTTAGAGACTATCAAGTCAGCCTGGCCTGCCCACGGGCTTATTCTATTCAATAGAAATCGAATTCTAAGGGATCCTATCTTACCAGCAAAAATTGTTCCACAGACTCCTTTAACAACCAGATGCCCTGGTCTTTGCCCATCAGCTAGTAGAGCTGTTGGAGCCCCTGAGCTTGATCATATTGAACTCAGTGATTAATGAATCAAGGAAACTCTAGCTAATAAAACTCTCAAGAACCTATTGACTCAATGTATCAAAGGAGCTAGAAGTATCAATGCTGCCAAGATTATTGCTGAGGAAGAGGTTAAAAAAGTATGACAACTAGCAAAGCCAGCAAAGG